TCCCCTGAACCAACTCCTTGAACTACCTCTCTCATTATTGATTTACCTACATTTGTCGCCCCTCCTTCATCTCCTGTCACTGCGGGGGCTCGATACTTCCTTCGACCACGCACTCAAGGTAAAAATGAGATAAATAGCAACTAGAGTTAAATGCAGCAGAAAAACATCCGTGTATGTACATGCAAAAAATTCAAACAATGCATCATAATGTACAATCTCTTTCAAATAAAATTGAATTTATCGAGGCAGCATTACAGTGTGATCAAGGTCAAATAGATGATTTTTGCTTTACCGAACATTGGTTGTCTCATAATGACCTAAACCACTCTAAATTCCTAGTTTTTACCTCGCAGGATCGTATTGTAGAGCGAGGGAATTAAATAAGGACCCTGCTTACGGAGGTTCGTGTATTTACGTAAGAAATGATATTGATTCTATCTTCTTGTCAGAATTCAATTTATATGCAGTTGAAAAAGCTTTTGAAATTACAGCCGTACATCTTACTCAAAACTATCTTACTTTGCATCTACAGACCTCCAACAAAGCGAGCTATAGATAATTTCATTTTCTTAGAAAATCTAGAGAAAACTCTGAACAAAAATTGTAATCTGTCTTTTAAATCCATTGTGGAGATTTCAATATTGATTTGCTGAGAAAAACCCTCGAAAAAGAGCAGTTTCTGAATTTACTGCATTTTTTTAAAAATGTTTGTATGTATGAACACGGGAATGTATGTACACGGAATACATTTACATCACAAAAAGGAACAGATCAAATTATAATTAATAAAACCACAACTAGATATGAAACAAAAACTACTAATCTAGGTTACAGTGACCATGATGCACAAATTCTAATAACATATAACTATCTAATAACATAATTCTAATAACATATTCTAATAACTAATAACATGAACATTGACACAAATTATTTACGTATGTGCATAGCATTCACTAAAGTTAACATAAAATTATTTATGGACTACGTGCTGAAGGAATCATGGGACACAGTTTATAACGCTGCCAACACAAATGAAAAATATAATCTACTTTTCTTAAAACTTCAATTTCATTTCAACGCATGCCTTCCTCTCAAAAAGAGAAAATTAAATATTTGAAGGAAAGATAATACTTGGATCACGCAAGGTATAAGAATATCGTGTAAAAACAAACGTAAGCTTTACTTTATTTTTAAACATCATAATGCATCACCCGGTTTCCATGTCTACTTCCGAGAATACAAAAGAATCTTAAGAAAAGGAATAGTTCAGGTAAATGTAATAAAAAATAATCATGATATTTTAAATGCTAGTAGCAAAACTAAAGCAATGTGGAATATCGTAAAAAATACGACCACGTCTCGTTACTTAGTACAGAATGTTGTTTTAAAGGTTAGTGAAGTAGAAGCCAGTTGTCCGGAAAAAGTGGCAAATCGTTTCAACTAACACTTTTCTAGAATTGCGGCGAAAGGGACGTAATGTTCAGGTAACAAAATTTCTAGGTCTGTCAATTCAGTCAAACCTCAAATGGAATGTACATATAACAAAATTAAACACTAAATTAAATTCATTATGTTACGCATTCAGAATTCTATCAAATTCTGCCAGCCTTCACGCAGCTCGTTGCGAGTATTTTGCAAATGTACATTCCCAACTGAGATATGGTATAAAATTCTGGGGAAACTCATCATGTAGTACTCTGACCTTTCAATTGCAAAAGAAAATTATTCGAACAATGACAAAATGCCCTCCGCGTCACATTTGCAAGCCTCTCTTCATTGAGCTTGGAATCCTACCACTGTCTTGCCTATTTATTTACGAATCTGTAATATTTGTCAAAAGTGACTTACTTAACGGTGGGAACATATATTCATGCAATACTGATATTTATAATTTCAACACACATCGTAAAAATTACGTTCATCAAGTGTCAGTATCAACAGCTCACTATCAGAAATCCACATGTACGTACTTTACAACGCACTGCCAGATGACATTAAAGAATGAAAGTCGATTCACAAATTTAAGTTAAAAGGAAAATATTTTTGCTGCATTACTAGTTTCTATACAATTAGAGACTATACTGATTATCAAAAAGAAAAATTATGTTTATTTTAACAAAACAGTGATATATAATGAATTAGTTTACATTTGTATTGTATATTTTTTTAAAAGACTTAATATGTTTGTAACAAATAATGTTCTTGAACGTCCGGGTCAATGACCACCATATCGATCAGGTTTTTGTTCAGTTTCCCTAATGCATTGAGCAAATGCTGAAATAGCCCCTTGTTTTGCTTCTGGACGCAAATGCAGCTTCACTATGCGCACGTTTTGTTGAACTCTCCTTTTGCTTGTAGGAGTAGAGGTAAGGGCGAGTTTCTATTTTGTTAGCAATGCAGAAAAATAAAATCTGCAATTCATATACCGTTGCAAACAAGATTTTTATAACTCGGGAACAAAAATGTTTATTTTTCAAATGTTGCTAATCTCCCGCTTTTAAATTTAAAAAAAATTATTTTTAACTTTTACACATCTTTCAAGTATTTATAGTTAAAATGACGGGAAGAGATTCTGAACTCAAGGAAAAGTGCTCTGATAGTCTTCTCCCCCTACGTCACATACAGTTTTTACTTTGAGTGAATAAATCTAAATCTTCCTTTCACACGTCGAAAAGACCGACACGAGGTGGGTAGGGCGAGCACCGAATGTTCGTCGCTCGGCAAATAGCAAGCAACCCATCCACACTACGCAGGATTCGGCGAGCGGTGGCTCGCTACTCGCCAAAAGACGGTTCCACGCATGCGGTATTCGGCGAATCCCGAGAAATGTGGGCAGACCGCTTGCGATTCGCCGAGCACTGAACATTCGGTATTTGGCCGACCCACCGCGTGTCGGTCATTATGACACATCAGCTGTTCGGAATTGGGCAAGTAGCTCGCTGCTCGGCGAATGCCGAATGTGTGGAGCCACCTTTATGTGAAATCATAGAAACGCGCAGCCAGAGTAATGTAATGTAATGTATGCCAGAGTAACGTAGTAAAATAGCTAAAGAGCGTGAACGGCGCACTACCTAGGAGAGCATGGTACGTCAAGGAGACCGCACTTTGTGACGATTTCGTATGATTTGCATAATGATTTCATATACTAAGATACGGCTGGAATATTAAATGTCATTAAATGAAAAATGTGCATACATAACATTACGACCTTTTTTGATTATCTGGGTTGTGCAACCTAAACAATAGCCACATCTGCAATATTCAGTAAACAAAATTTCGAAGTCGATTTTCTCAAAATATTTTTGAGCATGTGCCATTCAGCGCTTAAACGAACACCTATTTCTGTTACTCCGAAAATAAATTTTCCAGAAAAAAAATCCTCGAGTTTTCCAGAGATAAAACAATTTTCGACTTTCGAGGTCTGTCGCCACCCTGCGTCATCACTGGTTTTTAGTCTTTCCCCCCAGAATATGATTTCGTTTTTTCCACCGTAATGGTCTCCACCACGTTATACGGGAGTTGTAGGGCCCTGGCAGTGGACAACCTACAGGCTTGGATACCATTGCAGGGGGGATGGGTAATGCGTGGCCCCAGCTTTGTAATCTATACCTTGTCTATTGAATCTGAATCCCTTCCAATAATTTGGTGCTGATGATGTCTGCACCTACAAGCAAGCACTGGATATGCCCTTCATGAGAAAGAAGCATTGGCAATCCTGAATCTCATTGACAGCCAAGATTTCCCACTATTAAGTCCTTGAGGAAAAGTATGGTGAGAATTTCTTGGATTTGTAGATGCACTGAAAGACCAAAAGTAATCAACACTCAGGTACAATATAAAAGAAAACAAAAACTGAATTACTCATATTTTAATCAACTATTTTATTTGCCAATTTAATTTATGTGAGAAGTTTAAAAGTACATGTTTCCTACAACATCTACTTCTTTAGAACTTTTACAATTTCAATTTTTTGAGAAAGGAGATAAGCAATTTACACAAACAGTAAAAACCCATTGGGGCACAATTAATTTCAATGTTTGTTTAACTAGTGTTTAGTTCCATGAAAAATTCATAGAATATGGAAATTTCTAAATTACATTTTTCCACAAAATCAATACGACCTAAATGAGGAACACTTTATGTGGGGGTTTTACTGCACACCATAAATAACAATGTCAATATAAAAATATCAGTGTGTTTACATATTTATCAGGAAAACACTTTGTTATGAAAAAATTTTAAAATTGGCAAGAATATTTACCCTTCAAATGGATTTAAATTAACTAAAACAGTTTGAAGGGTTAAAAGCATAGTGCAACATTCAATAGCCAATCCTCTGTCAAATGTGAATTACAACCCATCAGAGGGCCAGTCAACTGTTCTTGCAGTTCACTCACTGCACATTCATCCCTGAAAAACATTTCCAACAATATATTGAATAACAGATTGTGCTCAGCACTTAATCGGCAATCCAGGACCTTAAAGACTGGATTGCATAGGGTTGTCTTAGTAAGCTGCAGATCCAAAGATAAGCAAACTACCCAACCCCTGTCTCACCCAAGATGGACACAAACTATAATACTGGCATTGAGCCTTCTAGGTACTGAGCTAAGCTCTTGTCATAAGCACTACATTGCACAGAGCACCTGCCTCCACAAGCGACTCCTATCACTTGTCCTAACTACAATAAAAAACTGATGCACAAGGAACCATTTTGTCTCATGGTAGATTACTGAAAACCGGTTGCAAGATAAAACTCAATAAGTTATAAGTAAAAACCATCATCCCACAGGGTCATAGCTTGAAGATGTTCGGTGCATTTTAATTGTTTTTCATTGCTTCTATCAAGTAATTGATATGAGCATTAGGTGGGGGAAGTTGTAGGAATTTCCCAAATAATTCCCAATAAAATCTGACAAATTATTTTTAAAAAATATTTAAAAAATGGAAAATCACAGCTAGTCTTAACATCTGTGATGCATGCATTACAACTTATTCTAAAAATCAGAATCCACTACATTGTAAGTACTGTTTCTACTCACTACACAGGCTTCGAGGCATTTTCCTGAAACATCATTCAATTCAATTCGCTATGAAAAATTATAAAACATGTCTCTATTGGCATTCACCACTAATATGCTGATATCAGCAAGTTAATAATCAGATCTAATTCACAAATAGGTTTGAATTTCTTTACAAAAATGCAAAACTGGCACACTAACTATATTCTAAACTTGAAAAACTACAAAAGGCAGCTTGGATGAGACATGGTATGCATAAAAACTATAATAATTACTTTACTTCATCAATGCAACAAGTCTGAAACACCACAGCAAACTTTTGTACCATTATGCAGTTACTTCTGCCATTTGCTTATTATTGATTTACAATTAAGTAAATAATTGGTCCATAATATTATTCAAATTTTATTTTTATAATCCTCACAATTTAAAAGGACTTGCATTAACTTAATTAAAAATACAGAATTTACAAAATGTGACGTTTGAACAGTAACTGCTGAAGCCATGTGTGGTTCAACTTGCCACATTTCAGTCCCTGCTGGTACACAGCATTTATGTATCTTTGCAATAAGAACACGATCTGTAATTTGAAGTTTTAAAATCTCTACGCAAAATTAGGCAATAGAAATTACATTGAGTAATACGGATTAAATACAAATTAATTCCAGTCAACATTTTGAAAATTTTCAAACGAATAATTTAATTATAAGATCTGTTGTTCATTACAACCAAACCTACTCTTAAAGAACAGTCACACGCAATGCCTCTAGATTATGATATTCATCAATATAGATTGATTCCAAATCAACTAAATTTTTCAAAAACGTAGCATATTGCAAGCCTTGAAGTTTGTAACTGCAAGTGGATACTAATAACTTTTACAATTTACTAACAATGTTTAAAGGTAACCATTCAAAATGAGTTTTAAGGAATATACTAATTGAATAACCTTCTAAGTAAAACAGTAGACTCTCAGGAGAATTTATTACAAAACCAAAGTTTATACGAAAAAATTAATTACTTTCATCTCTTTAAAAGTACCATTATTGTCCCATGAGAAAGTTTTGACATGCGTAACACTCGAGATAAATTTCTTACTGAAATTTCCTTGACCTGAATTCCTGTGTACCAGCAAAGAACAGACATTTCACACAGTAGAAACCAAAGCGCTGAATAGCACACACAAACCAGACTGAGATCATCTTACAGTTTTGTACTCTTCTATTTTTGAACACTACATATCCCATATGTACACTTACGATAAGCCACATCACTCCCCACTGGAAACCTGTTGTCTGTGGTCACACTCCCAGATATGCATTCTAATGCACAAACAATAAAGGGAAACAAATTGGAGCAACAATAATAATGCTTTGAAAGCATAAAATTTACACCTTGGCAATACTACCAACTTCACAACTGGCCAGCAATTGCAATCACTCAAGCCACTGACAAGGTTTTCCAATGGAACGACACACACAGGTACATTTATATTGTACCTTCAACTGCACAAGCAAATCACACCATAATGTGCATTTTAATGAAATTAAATGTAAAAGACAAATTCTGATAGATTGGAAATAACTGAGAAGGAAATACATTTATAAAAAGTGTTTCTTTTAAACAATGAATAAAATGCAAATAGGTTTCTTTTGTTGTTTGCTTTTTTTTTCTCACACAAAAAGGAACAAATGAACAAAGCGTATGTTAGCGAGTCTAGCTCAAATTATTTGTCATTTGATCATACAAACCACAACATTCTTACAAAATTTACCACATACTGACCCAGTTTGCTTTTGTTTTCTGCACACTCAAGAGAAACAACTACTTTACAGAGTTTCTAATAAAAATAGATAAGATCTTTCTTTTACACAGGTACAACTTTCAGTTAGTATCTTGAATTTGTGGATTGTATTGCCATCCTGTATTTACCAGTGGTATTTAGTCAGTTTTACTTTCTCTATGTATGAGTACATTTTTCCTATTGTACATTAACTACTTTTATGTACATATTAAATTTAAATTAAATGTTCTCAATTACAAGGAATATAGCCTCCTCAAAAATACTGCCTATTTCATCTACACAAGGAACATGAACATTTTCTTAGCAAATACAAACACTTAAAATACACTTTTTAAATAATTATACAGGCTGACAGATAAAGCAAAGTTAATATAAGAGGACAGTATATACAATTGCATATAAATAACAATGTTTTTAAACAAATCTTTCTCCTTTAACATGATGCAACAATGGTGGCAAAAACAATTTTGTTCTTTAGCTGGAAAACTGAAAGCTTAACACCTCTTGACCCAGCTAAAATAAACACACTTAAGCTAACTCACCTTCCACACTGTAGCATTAATGAAGGAACTATCAAGCCACCCACAAAAAGAAAAACACCTCACCAGCTCTTTTTAATTATCATCATTTTGTGCAACATATTCATTTCAAAACAAAATTTTGCACAAGTAATTAATTTTAATTACCAAATATTGAATATTCATATCTTATATTTACTCCCAAATAAGAGCATAATTATTTTCAAAACATTGTGCTTGTGTGTTTCATTATTTAAAATAAAACTATCAAGTAAAAAATTGTAAGATGTAAAAAAATAAAGTGGATTCTGTTACTATGGACTGCTTATCCAGTGAAAAAATGATGGTCCAGATTTATCTCTTGCTCGGCGCGCCCAGCAGGCTAGTGCGAGATGCTCGAGCAGGCCCTGGTGAACCATGACCGCTTCGATTACCTGCTAACTGAGACAAGGGATGTGACAGTGATGGGCAACACTCAACATACTCCTGCCACAAAAGGTGAACTTGCACATGGACCTCCATGGACCCCCACTCATGGCATAATAAATAAACCACTTCTAGTCACCTGAAATTTTGCCATTGAAGTCGAGAAAAATAACTATTGAACTACTTGAATGATTTTTAACTGTTTAATTACTTTCAAAGAGTATGCAGAATAATCAAATTGAAAGACAAATGTGCTTAAGAATAAATCTACAGTCCCGTTCAAATCCAACCTAAATTAAAATTTTCTCTCTATATAAACAAATATCACAGAACCTTCCACTTCATGCATGTCTTAGAATAGAGACATGAAGATACAGTCGGCTTGTCCAATACCCAAGCAGTAACTCATGAAGTCACCCACAAATACCCAATTCAACTGAGTTGCATAATATCATATTATGGCACTATAACTTTCCCTCAATCATGCACCACCATTTAACAATTTGTTCTCTCATAGAATATACGTAAATAGTTCAAGATTACCACAGCTTTCAAACACAGACATTAATCAGTCCAGGGATGTTCCTCCAGTTGCCCTTGGCTGGCATGCAATTTGGGGTGGGAGCACCTTCACCTTTTTTAATCTTTAAAAATTATTTTTATATCCCATGGTATGGTAGATAGTTTACAATGGGAACTTTGGAGAGAAAAAAATCAACAAAGCATATTAAAGAACTATGTTGATTTACCTTTTGAAATGATATACAGTACTTCAGAGCAATTACTGAAGACAATTAAGCCAGAAAATTGCCCGAAAGTCACTGTGGGAATATTACAAAATATTTGCTACAAATAACTTACACAGAAGCACTGTTTATAGACAAAGAAGAAAAGACAATTACATTCGAAGCAAAACAGTGAAGATGCTTAATTGTGAACTCTAAGAAAAAAAATATTTCCAATTTAATTTTTGCTTCTTGAAGACAATACCAATTACTGTTTCATTATATTAATACCACATAAAAAAACAAAATTTTGAAAACGTCTGGTGAGGTCTAACTCCAAGTAGTTCAAAAACACAAACCGCATACAATACACAAACAAGGAAAATGGGTTGTATTAACTTGGAAAATTCTGAAATGACAAGGAACATTATCCTATAAAAGAGAAAATGCTCTCAAACAATTACATTTAACACATTATCAACATCACAATCATGCCATTATAATTAAAATATATACAAACATACATACACAAACATTCTTATGTGCTTGATCACTGGCTATATTAAAATTCTAATCCCCAGAGCACAAATTATAGATTATTCAGAATAGTAACACATTGCTTGCAAAAACGTAAAACAACATTAAAATAAAAATATAAAAAATTAAAAAATTAGCAATACTTTGTCAAATGGCATTAAAAGATATGAACACAAGGGATTCCACTGTGCTTAGGTGGCTCAAGAATAAACAGCCCAAAAAGTGTTCATAGTTCTTACAAGTTTTAGACAATATATCTAACAAAGATGATATCCTATTTAAAATTATGATCACAAAGCAACATATTTGTTTCCTATTGAAAAATATCTTAAAACAAACAAAAAAGCAAAAAAGAAATAAAATCAACTGAAATAAAATACTTGTAAAGCACAGGCCCCAATGTGGTAGCGCAGGCATTCTCCTGCAGGTTTTGTACAAATGAAATAATAAACAGATGGCCGACAAACGAAAGAACGAGGCAAGCGAAGCCAGGGCAGGCTGGGAACGCCCAGGTTAGTACAGCGGCCAGCGCACCACAACGCAGGAGAGGTAGTAGGAGGCAGGCAGGCACAGGCTGGGGCAAGTCACAGGTGGGTTGACTCTCCTGCAAGACAACAACAAGCCAACAGTCACAAAATGCAGCATTGGGGAACAAAGGCCAACATAACACCCCATAACATATGGTTAGTCTCAAACACAAAATACAAGGTAACACAACAGGTTTCAATCTTAAAACAAATGTAGTATATTAAATAGTAATCATTTCTCCTTAAATAAATGAATTAAACAAAGATGGACAAAATTTATTGGTGAAAACAGACATCTTTTCAAGGGAAGAAAGATACTTGAAACAAGTCACCAGTGCAAACCTCTTCCAGAGAAAAGATTTTGAAACATCAGAAATTATTGTTCTCTGAATTACAAAGTATACAAAAAAATGAACCAAGACAAATCCAGCTATTCATAATTCACTATTTTTGAGTATCCTAGGCTTTACAAACAAATTTTGATACACATTTTATTCTGAAGATATGAGCTACACAAAAGAATTTCGTCTTTAAAAATATATTGGCTTTTAACCAAGAAATATCTTAATTATTTCCACAACGTGAATTTCCTATACAATTAATGCATCAATTTCATAAAGAGTTAAAAAAAAAAACGATGATTAACCTTAACATTTAAAGTGTTGATGAAAATCACTTATAGAAGGAAGACGAGAAGAAAAGGGAGAAGACACATCATCTAACGAATAAAATTTAAAAATAAAAGAGAGCAAATGTGGGTTGTCTTTTTTCCCCTCACGCATTTTTTTAAAGTCAACTGCTGGTAACAAATCTACTTTAAAATTTTGTATCTATCACTTTATCTTTCAGAGGAAAGTAAATAAAAGGTCAATCATTTTGACTACAGAGATTGTTTTCAAAATATTCAATAATTATAAAATTGTTTTGTGGAAAAATATTCATTTATAAAGCATACTAGTCATGTACTGTATAAAATTGATGTGTTTATTTTTACTTGATATAATACAAAGCTTACTGAGATCATACCATTATTTATTATAATTGAAAATCTGAACATCAAAAATAAAGAAGCATACATCTACGTAATTTGTGTTTGGTCAAAACAAAGTAAAGAAAATGCCAGAGAGAATAACGTTGAAAAAGCACTGAAATACCACCAACAAAGAAATACAAATGGAATTCATGCAATGCCCATGCATTCTGTGGCGAAGTTCTTTTTCAACATCTACACCTTGTTACTTGGTCATTCTGATTCCCATCTGCAAAATGCCAACATGGAAGTAGCATGCTAAAACATCAACCAAATTCCGATCTAATAAATACGAATCATGCCTTACTCTGGCAACTTCATAAAAAGTTTGGCAACTGAACAAAATAATGAAACATACAAAAAATATTCTGACAAAATAAAAAAAGATATTATATATTGAGCAGTTTAAACATGTGGAACAAACGGAGCAATTCCAGCTCACTTGCAGGCAGCATAAAACGCTTACCTGCAGACTGAAGCCCCTCGCAAGGAGACCTGCTGACAAACCACTAGAGCACAAAAGAGCACTACCTGCACATGCTCTCTTTTCTCTGGACAGAGACAAACATTATAATGAGGGATTTTCAACCACAGCAATTGTTTAATCTCCTGCAGGTGTGACTGTTACTTGGAGGTTTGAAAATTCTTAAAAATATTTGTTTAAATCAGATAATTACACATAAATAAGGTTGTTTTTGACTTTCTCTTTTACATGATATAGAAAAAGTATAAGTGCATCATGAGCAAAACAAACTACATATTTTGAAACATATGTGCTTGATCATTGTAAATATCTGCCCTTGGCTCAGTTAAAATTTGAATATTACTCAAAAACCAATTTAACAAAACCGGACCACAAAACTGAAAATGTTTAATATGAAAAGATGAGATGTTCTCTGGTATTCTTAAAGAATAATTTTGATTAAAACTATATGGTCCATAAAATTGATATGAGTAAACCATTTATATTCTTTTTTTTAAACAATATTTTCAATATCACAATAAAATTAATTAAAATTAAAAGGTTTGTCAGTTTGTCAATTACTGAAATTTGTCTTAACAATCTTATTACAGGATATTCTGTTTAAATTAAATTACGAGTGTGTGGCCAAACTTGGTTTCAGTCATAACTATGGGACTGAATTTTGTTGGACATTACTCTCAATTCATTGTCAATTCTAATATTCATTTGAAAAATAATTATTTTTGCAATCATATTTGCCTTCTTCTGAAGTGACAGTTAGATATACAGGCAAAATTGAAGAAGTAAATTTGAAAGTTGTCTTCAAAAAGTTTGATAAGATTTAGCAAGAGATTGTTTAAATATTAGTTTTACACAGCTTTCAATACAATTATTAAAATTTGAAATGACTTTTACAGATAGATTTATGCATAAATCTAGATAATTCTTAATGTCATTGTCTTTTTTTATCTGTTCACATCTTATGTGCTCTACAATTACAAACTTGTTAAAATAAGATAAACTTCAAAGAATTAATTTGTTCTGTGTTGATTGATTGTTGACCTTTAATTCTGGTTACATCTTTTTTGTTTCTTTTTACTTTCTTCCGATCTCGATAAAGAGACAGTTCTGCAATGTGGCAGGAAAAAGTCCATATTGTGACAGAAAAATACCTTTTGTGCGTCCCAGATACCAAAAGTGTTGTTTTTCTTTTTCCCACACCTAATAGTACTTTCTTATGTAAGTAGAATAATCAAAATACTCCAGTCAATGTTTTCTGAGTCTTTAACAATGAATAAATGTAATTTTCTCAAAAAGTCTTTCAACAACAATAGATTTTGCTCAATTGATCTGGTTCATGTCATGGACCCCCAAATTAGAAACATACCATTTAATTTCTGAGAGGACTTTCCTTGATCCTCCATCCTCCCAAAGTTATCTAAAAAATGATTATAATATTTTCCTGCAAAGTATTTGCTCAATAAGAGAAAAGTAAATTTAAATATCACAGACTTCATTTTCAGAAAAATCTCTTAAATTTTCACCACTGTAACACAGTAATTACTTTCTTTGAGGTAAGTTAGTAAAGTAAATGTATTTCTTAATTAAATGCTTCAAAGTTAAGATTTGTAAATAATCATGCACAACTTTTTGAAAATATGAGTAGTTTTCATGGAGTTTGAGTAAAAGTGTGATGGTTTATAAAAATGTAAACAAAATTTCCTTAAAAACCGCTCCCAACTTTCTTCTTAACATTTTTGCTTCAATAGGGCAAAGTTCACTTAATGTGGTGTATGTCCTATGGAATTTTGAAAATTGCAAAAGTTCAATTTTTTTTGAACTTGTCCTAAATATGAACAGTTTCAGATTCTTTCTTACTTTACTTTAAATTAACATTTGTAATTGTTTTTAATTAGATTACTTTAAATCAATTCTTCAGTATTAATCTTTAACTTGTTTCTTTGACGCTTTTTTCTAAATGTTAGTATGCAAGTAATTTTGAGTTATATTGTGATAATTTTGCATTTTATGCTAGAAACACACAACACTTAAGAACTGATCTTCACACTCAGACATATAGAGCTGAGACCGGACAGAAAAGTCTTGCTTTGTAAACCTTCATACTTTGTAAGAATAGAGCACAATACTCTAAATTTAAGGGTTGAAAGTAATTTTTACTTATATTTTTAACCTCTTGCATTTTAAATGGTTTGGAGAACTACAAGTAATGGGTAAAATGTTAGTAGACAGAAATTGCAATATTTTAATGTACCATAACTAACACTGTTAATATAAGAATGATTGTGCTGCTGCAGCACCAGTTTCATTCAATTTCAGGGTATAATTTGGAGTAATATACGATTAAGGTAACTATTTGTACCAGCATATAGTTCAAGAAAGGCCATACTCATATCTAAGAATAGAACACAGCAGATAAGAAATAACAGAACAAAAATAATAGCTATGCTAATAAACACTTCGATCACAGCCAACAGTTTTGTCAAATTATAAATTATTGTTACTTATGCAGCTAAGAAATTGTAAAATATAAATCAAACTAATGTTACCAAACCAGATAATGGGATCAATAGAAATTGTTAAAATGAAAGCACAGTGCATTCTGGCACAATTGAAGAAAGATTTTCAAATATTGTCATTCAAAACATTTTGTACAAATTTTTGTCACTCAAAATTTACTAGACAGAGACAAAAATTCTATGGGAAAGATTATTTACTAGACTGACAAATTATCAAAAAGGACTTGTGATCAAACTCAATGAATATAACTTTTCATTAACATATTTTTTGTATCACATAGCCGTATTACATTAAATGGATTATGTTCAAAATTTCAGCACTAAAGGATTGTGATCGAAAGTAATGATTATTACATATACACCCAGAAAAAAAGAGAGTTGTGGAGTAGATAAAGGATTTCTGCCAGTAATCAGAACTGTCTGCAAATTATCAATGAAATTTCAGCACTCTCACAAAAATTACAAGACAAAAAAAGTGACACAAATAAAAAGTCAAGTTCTGCATCAAGAACAGAGTAAGATATGCCCAAATTATCTTTATCCACACCACTGTAGGAAATAAGGTTTTTAAATAAAATTTACAAAATCTACTGAAGTTACATCTATTATCAACATGACATTTGAATGAAGACAGTATCTACAATCAAATCTACACCATTTTACACAAAAAAAGGTGGAAGTGAAATTGAACATAAAATACAAAAGAATTTATGCTATGTTGAACAAATATTTTGGAGAAAAAAAGAGAATATAATACAATTTGTTTCAAACAGACATTATTTTCACAATTGGAACATACTAAAAATATGTTTAAGAATAATACCCGCACACAAAGATACAAAACCAAAGACAAACTAGAGCATCAAATTGTATAAATAAGCAATGCACAGTTGATAATCTTTTGTAGTTAACACGAGAAGTGTACAGGGATAAAAGCACATCATTTTTGCTTTGTTTCTTACCAATTTTGTTTCGAAAGCAAGACTAGTTCTTTCCAAATCTAAAACGTGGCTCACTACTTGCCCTCAAATCCTATACCTTCACACTACAAGAAGTAGTTCTGACAACTGCAATTTTCTTACTGGAAAGTTAAGTGAAAAGATTAGAATTACTTCTTTTTCCTCTTTCCTCTCCACATTCATGCAATTGAAATACAAACCATCATCCAAATCTTATCCCCACACACACTTCTTTTAGTTCAAATTTTTGTTAAAGTACTACGTTCCTGAGTCTGCACACAGTAACGCATCAAGAAAACCAAAGCACCTTTCAATTGTCACTAATCTATATATGCTGAAAATATAGGCACGGAGCATTGCGAATACATAGAAAGATGAGTGTGTATATAATGGTGTCCTAATGTATATACTACGCAACTCGGTTGTGCTTCCCACTGTAAAACTTGTTAAATAACAAAAAGTGTATGATTTAAAATGGAAAGTTATTACTAAATAAACATGCAATAAATAACTGTACTTTTAAATTTTCGACTAAAATATAGCTGAAAGAAAGAAAAAAGAAAGGGGAGAGAAGGGAAGAGAGAAAGAGTGAGTGAAAAAGTGCATCTCACAGGGAGAGAGGACGGATGAGCATGGGGGGAGAGAAAAAGATTGAGAGACAAAAGGGACAAAGAGAGAGAAGAGATTAATAAAATTGTTTATGCTTTATCCCATTCTTTGAACAGATTCACTATGTTCATATCAGTGAAAGAGTAACTGACAATTATGTTGCCATAAAAACACAAATCACAAGCATAGCTGGTCCCACTCTGGTGTAGAAAAACCTACACCGTGAACATTGAGAGCGTAGGCTTCCGCGGCCGGAGTCAGTATTTACTAGGCTGTCCGGGGACGCGCTCCATGGCGAAGGTGCGACGTTTTCGGTCGCCATTCTGCGACTTCCTCAGGGCGTAATGCGTAGCATTATTCGGGCGTAGGCGATCGTAGGCGGCTTAGGGCGGGCTTAGGGCGGGCTTAGGGCGGACGTAAGGCGACGGTAGGGCGCGGGCGTTAGGCGCGTTAGGCGAGGCACGGACGCTTTTATCTTCACTACCATTACTCATGTCTCGCTGGGGTAGGCGGGCGGCGTAGCGTGGCGGCGCTAGGGCGGGCGGCGCTCAGGGCGGCACAGGGGTAGCGGGCCCGCTTCCGCAGCGCGGGACGCAGGCAGGGCGTAAGCATTACGCCCTGAAGAAGTCGCCAGAATGGCGACCGAAACGTCGGCACCTTCGCCATGGACGCGGCGTCACCCGGACAGCCTAGTAAATACCGTGAACATGTTTAGATAGGATGACTGCTACACCTACATGTTTGATCAAAAGCAATATGAAACCCTCAATCACTCTCGACCAAGCTTGCTCTCAATTGTAATGAGAATAGTATCTGTTACACATTAAACAACCCAATGTTGAGTATTATAAATAATTTACGAAACACAGGAAATTCAATTCTAAAACTTCATGAAACTTCTCAATGATAAGAGAGGCTTTTATTTAAGAAGTCTCAAGACAAACAGAGCAAGTCAAAGCAAAGGTCAATGGGAAGCACAACTCCAAATTACAAAGATTAATAAATAATAATAAGAAAAAACCTTTTTGAAAAGACAACTCTGCCTTTAGAGAGATGTGCCTTGGTGGGGGAAATAATAAGTTAAAATGATAGTTCCATTGATGTAGAATGGACTGCACACCATCCATCCTAAGTAGTCATTTTCTGAACCCGTATCAGGAGTGGAACACTCAGCTGGCCTTCCTCATCATTTACCCAATTGTCATAAGGGAGCAAATATATAACATTTTCTTTCTATCTGTTGCTGTTTCCTTCTTTTCAGCTTTTGCAATTTCAGATAACCACGTTCTTAAAACACTGAGTATTGGTTTAACTATTCTCACTAAAAAGTTTTGAATGTACAGATTTCAAAACAGGTATTCTTGATGGAGCAGAGAGATTACAGAGATTCTAAAAGCCACAAAATCAATTAAAAAACATAGAACAACCGATTTACATTCTCAGCTATAGTATTCAATCAAGTAGAGAGAAAGAGGGAAAACCAGTTTCATTTCAGGAGCCACTCTTCAGTAGAATGAAAAATAAAATAAAATCATACTAAAACGTCCTTGAAATCTGAAAAACCTAATACATATTGAAATGAGAAAATTGTTTGTTTTATATTTGATCTGGTGATACCTGCATGCACAAGTTTTGAAGTTGAAAATAGAAAAAAAAAATGTAAGAATGTGCAAGGAGAAATAACTAAATGAAACAATCTCTAAAATAAGAGAAGAAAGAGAAAGAAAAGAACAGCCCTTTACAGCAAATTCACAACTCAATTTTTTCCAAGCAATAAATCCCTCATCTCTTGAGCTAAGTTAGAAGGCCAGCTGATGTAAATCCAGCAATGGAGACAAATTGGACCAAAATTTTAAATTATTAGTAGTATTGATACTCCTATATTAGAATAGTGAACACAGTGGTAGAAAAATATATAAAAATATTAAATTTATCTTAGGTCCCCTTGCATATTCTGGTGTGAAATAACCATCTGGCATTGTCAAAGCTATCAAAATTTTCAAGAGTCTCATTCTCCCGTTCATTAATCACAGTGAGGACATTGTGGATTTCACTTGCCCAGAATGAAAAGAAATAAGAAAGAAAGGAAAAGTATTATTTCAAAAATAATCAAGAACAATAAATAAAGTTTCAAAAATGCTTTTTAATGATCTCCTCCTGAGCATTTGGAGTAATTGTCTCATTACTTATTTTGACAGATTTTCAGGAGAATGAGGTTCTTGCTTTTAAGCGTCACTGCACAATTTGTACTCAGTCATAAAACGATTTGCAAAAATAAGGGTGCTGGACCACAATTTTCAACTGAGAAGAACTGATATCATGCCTACAATACATATTTTTGTGCCAAGTCTCAAACACTTCTCAACTATGAAAGCACGTTTTCCACAGAGTAATTTTCATACAGATTAAGTGTAATCAGCACATACAAACCCTGTCCAGATGGCGTAGATTCAGAACAAATAGCTTGATGATAAGATGTGCTAAAACTAAGATTAATATTTTCTTTTCAAGAAGTTCATCATCCATCAATATATCCAAGAAAGCATTCTACAAGTTTTGTACATTTTGTAGACTTAAGGAAAAGAAAAAGTACATTAAAGTTTGCACATCAGTATCGTGAGGCTCATTTGGTAAAGAGCATAATACTGTGGGTTTGCCTTCAATTCCCATAAAAAACACAGTCACCACACATTCCATATTTGCTAAAGGGAAAATTAAAAGAAAAGCTCATTCCACTCTCAAAATACTTGCAGAGCAAAACACCATTAAATTGACACTGGAAGAGGTCTACTTTTTTTTCTTTTTCTTTTTTTTCTTTTTTGTTAAGGAAATACTGATAACGCTGGACAACAGAAACATAGTTTGAAACAACTTGTAAAAAATTAAGTTGTAATAACATTTTCACACTTTAGGTATACAATATTCTGCAACATCATGATACGCATTTTGTTTACTACAGAAAAATATTTTATAATACAATTAATTTGTCACCTAACCATTGAAAAATGAGTCAACCCTACAAGCAGCTAAAAAAACATTTTGGAATTTTTCTTGAAAATATTACCATTACTACACAATTCAAGCCAACATTCAGAAAACATATGATACAAATTTGGCAACATCAACATATACTGTACAAATGAAAACTTTAAAGGGGGGGCTCAGCCATTCCATACATAATACAGTATTTTAACAAAACTAAAAGAAGCTGGGAAATACACAGACTTACTACAGAAGCATTCACAGTTGCAGCACAACTGTTCCTGCCTCATAACAAATGCCTAACTACAATGTGAAGGATGTATGCCTAGAAGCTGTCGCAAACCAGGCATTTTTAATTTGTTTCACTGTGAATACATTGGCCAAAATGAGATTGGCTCTCCTTATGATTGTTTATGGAGCTGATCGAAAAATTAAAATAACATGAGTTTGAACTGATATAATTTCTATATCTCAGAAAAGATGAAATCCTTTCATTTAATAACAAGAAGCACAACTGATGTAAGTAAAATTATTCTTTTCTCCCCTTTCTCCTTGCACCCTTTTCACACTCCTTTTCACAAATTCTTGCAATTAAGTAAAATACATTATATTTACTTAGAGGCAAAAACTACACTATAAGTTCACTAAGATGTCTCAAGAATATAAAGAGTTTATGAAGGAGGACACATTACAAACGAGCAAAAGTAAAGAAAATACTATGTACACAAGAATTTGTATGTACAAGAAACATTAGTGGTCTAGTATTACAAAACATCTTCAAATTAGAAAGGACAATTCAAATGCAAGGTAGATGGGCCTACTCAACGATGGTTCCTAGCAACTAAACTAGAATCTTAATAGAAATTTACCTTTTCTATTAAACATCTGTTCAGAAAGAGGAGTTAGAAACTAACTTCAAAACAGAAAGAAGAAAAGCACCATATACACTTAACATAAAATCTATGTTCACATTTTTCAAATATGAATAAAATCATGATGAACGAAGCCTTCAGGAATTGTTTTATCAAACAATCTGCACAACAGCATAACGTTAGTAGTAAAACTTATTTATAATCCTAAAAGGAAGTGATTTTGTAAGTCAGATCTCCATAGAATGTTCAGTCAGTTCAGAACATCTATATCCCTCCCTCCCCCCATCACGATCATCCATCACGATTCAAACAGCTGGGGCCGAAGGTCAGGCTCCGGCAGCAGGTGATATCTGCCCACTTGGCGCTCCGCTGAGTCCACTGCAGGGGCAGGGCAAAGAAAAGAGTATCAGAATACTAGACAACACCCAATTTCCTTCCTCTTTTGCACTCAAACCCTCCCTCACTGACTAAACAACGCGGACCTCTGAACTCTAGGAAGAAGCTTTACTTAATCGATGTTATTTTATTTCAATTAAGATACAATTGTTTCACACATCCATTGCTATTTGGACAGTTTGATACAATCTTTTCCCAAGGTATGTTGTGAAATTATTTGGCTCTGTCATAGAAAATAATGATAATGAAATTTAAAACCATGGTAATTAAAGGAAGCATAAAACTGAAGCAAGAAATGTTGACAACTTCACTGTGTAACTATAATAAAGTTGATGACAATAAGTTATGTGTTGAAGGAACAACCTTTCGTATCTGGCAATTGCAAAGATAAAATATATGACCAGCAGGTTACATCAGTGTCCATGTATCAAAGCAGGTTATTCCAGTGCCCTTGCGTATATTTAAAGTGCCCTTGAAGACAATTTTTTATTTCTCCAAACATTTCTCTCTACTAACTTTTAGTTTATGTGAATTTAGATGCAGTACTATGAATTTATGTGCAACACAGAAGTACGCATGGTTGAATATCCAAAACTTAGCCATTATATTAATAAATTATGCTTATGGTCTTAAGTTTTGCCACTCAATAAATACATTATTATTATTATTATTATTATTATTATTATTATTATTATTATTATTATTATTATTATTGTTGTTAATTTTTGTAATGAAATTTGAAAGAAGTTGCTTCCAGTAATACATTTTCCCCCCTGCATAAAATATTAGATAGGTAATCCTAAACGAAAAAGGTAAGAAGGCAGCATAACTTGGGATAAAAGATCGTGTAAGGAGTCTAAATGAAATAACTAGAAGGAATATTATTTTAAAAACATTTACTTGTTAAGACCTTCCAAAATCCAGAGGCACGCATCATTTCTTGCACAAGCTCAAGCCACATACGCACTGGTAAGCATTTTCAGCGAATCAGATGAATAAAGAAAGCTCTGATTCAACTAGTTTTGCCCTTTTCTAAATTCGTAGATAATTTTTCTGCATCTTCCTTAATACCATTATCATTTATAAATTCTTTTAATCTTTACAAAATAGATTGAATAAGACATTAATTACATTAAACTTATCAGATGAAAGCCTCAGATCTACAAATATTAATAGGAAACTATGCAATGAGGATGATTTAATTGTGGTTGAATGATGATTTTGTATTATTGCAATTATGTATTATGCAGATTGCAAAATTAGATTACTGCCGCCTATAAATTAAAAAAAAAAAGAGACACAGAGAGAGACAGAGAGGGGAAGGAGAAGGAGGAGGGAGAAGGAGAAGGAGGAGGGAGGAGGAGAAGGAGGAGGGAGGAGGAGGAGAAGGAGGAGGGAGGAGGAGGAGAAGGAGGAGGGAGGAGGAGAAGGAGGAGGGAGGAGGAGAAGGAGGAGGAGGAGGAGGAGAATAAGAAGAAGGAGGAGAAGAAGGAGGAGGAGGAGGAGGAGGAGAAGAAGAAGGAGAAGAAAGCTTCAAAGTCTCAGAACAGTGGGGACAATTAAAAATATATTCCAAATAAATGCAGAGGACTAACACAGAACACTAATGAAGAAGAGGGCAAGAAGGAAATACAAATTCATAATATAATAATTGACATAATAAGGAAGGTTGGTTCAAGGGGCTTGGTCAGTGGACAGAATTAAGACTATTTGGTTGTTTGCCAACGTTTTGGAAAGTGTATTTCCATCATCAGGGCTGTAATGTACAAAATCAAAAAAGCTTTTGAGGAAAACCATGGCTTTAGGGAAGCAAGATCTACTGTCACTAACTTACTATCATTTCAACATTACATGCTTACACATTTGTTTCTTCATTTTATAGGAAAACAATTTTTTCTAGTCAATTTCATAAAACATTCTCCCAAGCCTGGAATAGTTTACTTTGTAATTTTCTAGTTAGTTTCTTGTGACATTACATTTACCTTTTTTCCTTTTAATGCTTGGTTCGAACATACAATTCAAAGAGTAAATGCTAGATATTACCTCACATTAAGAACTATTAATTTTAATTGGATTGCTTATACTAACTTGATTCATCAGAACTAGACAACTGGTTTCCAACCACGTGCAATAAATCTGCATAGGTTTACAAACAGAAATTACATCTTGTTCTTTAGAGTTTTTCTAATTCAGAATAAACAGAAAGCAAAAATTTAAGATTAAGATGCAGTGCTAAGAATGAATATAAAGTATGGGAGGGTGTGATTTTAAACTTGAGAAAGTAAAATACATCTGAATACGATATGGCTTGAGCTCGCACTTTAAAAAGCAACTTTTAAATTCAAATTTTAAACATTAAAGAGGACTTAAAAGTATTTCATTGTAAGTGAAGAATTCACACTAACCTCTCAAGCATTTAACACATCTTAAACTAAAACATTAAAATATTTTTAATAATAATAATTATAAAAAAGTTCATAAAAATTCATCATGGCAAATAACTTGAAAAATAACTAACTTGTTTACGGTGCTGAAAGATGAAGTTGTCATAAATAATTTTAACTAATTCGGCTTTCGTGCTACAAGATTAAAACTCTGTGTCATAATTGATCGACTTGAGGCAGGTTATCTGATATTCTCCACAGATTTCAGAATAAACCTAATAATAATCAACATTCACTGCACAATTTTCACACCATGCGGTAATTAATAAAAATGCAAACATTCCGAATCTTTTAACTATTCCCTTGGATTGAAATAAAGTTGATATCGTGTTCGACATCATAACAACCATCCAGATAACTACCGACTTTCATTAGTTCGGCCTTCTATTATATATGATTTAAATATAGTGTCAAAATTCCACGTGTATCTTTCTACTCTTGTTATTTTTTTATATATCCAAAATAACTCCAAGGAAGCACTACACTCCAGTTGCAAAATATCTTGTAGAGGTTCACCAATACTATTTCAACCATTTGTACCTTTCCCTAACTAGTTCTCAAAAACAGGGGTACAAATAAAATTACTTACATACTACTTACTCATAGTATATAAGTAAACATTTTTCACGAATTTACTTCTACAAGGTTATATTCACATCAGTCTCGTATAAATTTAAGGTATTAAATAGATCAGGGTGGGTAGGACAGAAAGGGAGGGCTGGCCTGTTCTGTCCCGCCCCTGGGATGGGGTGGGGAAGGCAGGGAAGGACAGGGACAAGGAGGGGCAGGAGGATGCAGGACTATTGCCCAATTCATAAATAGTGACTTGTGACAGATCATCAGCTGTGACACAGTTATCCAAACGGGTGCTCTGATATCTAGAATTAAAGTCATAAAGCAGCTCTCGATTAAATAACTGCATTCAGTTGATGATCTACCACATGTGTCTATATTTAAATCACACAATAGGAGAGCAGATAAACAACAATTTTTTTTATATCTCTAGTTTGAATAATGCCTTGGGTGTAAAAATTCCAGGCAACACCTTCTACATATAGGTTATAGAGAATATAGTTTCCTCTTTTGAATACCTTTCTGAGATGCAATAATTAGGGCCCCAACGAGTAACAGTTAGGAAAGACATCATGAAAGAAATGAGGTGCTCATTACAATTTGT